GACGGGCAGGGAGAGGCTCTTGGCTGCGCTGGGGGGCGTGAGCCCCTGGCCGCGTGCCCCCCCCCAGTGGGGGGGGCGCTGGCCAGGCCGTTCCCGGCGTGCGGCTCTGTTTTTACTTTTTAATTGGTGTATTTGCACACGTGGGTGCGTATGCTATGTCCCTAGCTTTAGAATTACCTATTCTATATAAGAACACAAAATTATAGGAAAATGTGCTTTTTTACATTTGCTTTGTTGAAAAATACATTTGGGGCTAGCCAGTGGTGTGGTGGTTAATGCAGCCGGATGCCACATGACTGTGCGATATGAGTCTCAGACCTGGTGGTTTAAACAACATGCTGGGTGCATACCCAAAATCCCAGAGGAAGGAATAGAGGAAAATGGATTGCAATGTGACCATTCCCCTTGGGGGATGCTTTCTCACTTTCTCTTTCTGTCTCTCTGTTTCTCTTCCTCTCTAGCAAGTACATGTGCCCTCTGAAAAATTACAAAAAGGAAAAGAAAACTAAATTTTAGTCGGAAGAGTTTATGTAGGTTAATTTTATTATACCCCTGGCACATAAGAAGTTAGTGATGGTGTCTTGTAATCACTTCTCGGGAATTTTCCTGTCTCGACTCACTTAACAACTCAATGAACTAAAGAACTATATATCCTATTTGACATGGTTCTTCTATGTCATAGCATAATACAGAGTTCATGGTAAATCTTTGATAACTATTTATTCAATGAGTAAATAGGAGAGTTACTTTCTTTAATCAGAAGAGACCATAATGGAGGTGAGGTGTTTTAGCCTGACAGATGAACCAGGACAGTACACATATAGGAAAGAGTGTAGGACAAGACCTTGGGCAATTAGTATATTTCCATAGCTCAGTAGCACCCCTGACAATGAAGAAAAGGAAGGGAAGGATAAAGAGAAAGGCAAAGTGTGCCTAACTCAGGTTTCTTCTATCATGTGAAAGGGTGAGAGGTGCCAGAGAGGAAGGATCATTGCATTCCTTGGGGTTGTGTCTGAAAAGATGAAAAGGGAAGAAGCAGAAATTAAGAAAGGCCAGGATTACCAGGTCTGGCTTTCTTTGGGGATTTCCAGACCATCTATTCTGGAACCTTACTGTTGAGAGTAGTAAACGCCCAAACCCAACAAGTATTCTAAAAGAAAGTGTCCTTAAACAGTCACATACAGAGGATGGGAGACAGCTGGATGGAGGATTTGCTTATTTTCATTAAAGAGACAAAGGAGTCCATAGTGTATAGTGGGATTTTAAGGTCAATAATGATGTTGTGGATTCAATGGATGAAGAGCTGGTTCTACAATAAGGTTTATGGACTTACATAGGCAAAGCCAGTAAAGCGTATAAATCTTGTGTATGAAACTACTCATCATAGCATTTTTTCTTTACTTTCAGAGAGAGATTTTTGCTATTGGGCACATGTACTTGCCTGAGAGAGGGAAACAGAAAGACAGAAAATGAGAAATTACCCTCCCACCCAGAGGAGTTGGCCACATTGCAATCTCTTCTCCTCCATTTTCCTCTTGAGATTTTGGGCATGTACACACACACACACACACACACACACACACACACACACATGAGAGAGAGAAAGAAAGCAAGCCTCTGTTCAGGACTCGAACCACAGTTGGCCATGTGGGAGTTCAGGAAGGTAACCATTATGCCATCTGCTGGTCCCTCATCATAACATGTTAAAAGAAAATGACGTTCTGGTCAGACTGCCTGCGTTCACATCTCACATCTATCATCTGCAGCCGTGTAACCTGGGGCGCTATACGCAACCTTCTTGCTGCTCTACTCTTCAGGCTTCTTTTCTATCAAAAGGTGATAATCATATTTACCTCACAGTTTTATAATGGGACGAAATGGGTTAACACACTTTAAAATCACTAAGTATGAAGTGCCTAATAAATGTTAATTTATTAGTTTACTACATGTCTTATGGAATTTTAAATGTCCATTATCAACCCAGAAATCTTTTCCATGATTTGCTCTTTTTTTTTTTTTTTTTTTTTGGGGTTTTTTTTTGGGGGGGCGTGCGCTCTCTTTTTGCTATAGGGTGCATGCGCTTGCCAGACAGACAGAGAGAGACAGAGAGACAGAAAGCGAGAAATCACCCCCCAGGCTGTATGGCCATGCCGTAATCCCTTCTCCTTCATTTTACTCTCAGGATCTTAGGCACGCACGCACACGCGCCTGGCGTGAGTTTTAAGCCACCGGGTCCGGGATGCGAACCACGGTCGACTACATGGGAGTCCAGCGACATAACCATTACGCTAACTGCTGGTCCCAGAAGATTATTTCTTAATGTTTATTGTGAGCCAAGATTATTATCCCATGTTTCTCTTTTTTTTTAGAGAATTATTTGTTTAATTTTATTTATTAATTCATTTAATTTGACCAGAGAGACAGACACAGAGAGAGAGAGAGAGAGAGAGAGAGAGAAAGAGAGAGAGAGAGAGAAAGTGAGAAAGCAAGCCGTCCAGAACTCGAACTGTGGTTGGCCATGTAGGAGTATCTAGCGCCTCAACCACCAAGGCACCTGCTGGCCCCTGCCATGGTCCTATCTCTTAATCTCTTTTGATTGTTTTACTTCTACATCAAATGTTCTCCTATTAGTATATTAAGATTATAGCACTGGGAGCTTAAAAGACGTTGGAGAAGACCTAGGTGACTGAGGGAAAAGATGGGAACACCCTACTTGTTGTTCAATGTTAGAAAAGGGCTTTTTAATCAAGAAACACCCTTGGCAATAAAGAAAAGGATGGGAAGGGTGAGAAGGCAGCCTAAATGCGCCTGACTCAGGTTTCCTCCAACATGAGAAAGGGTGAACAGTTCCAGATAGAAAGGATCTTTGCATTCCTTAGGATTGTGTTTGAAAAGGAAAGAAGCAGGAATTAAGAAAAGTTAGAATGACCAAGTCTGGCTTCTTTGGGGATTTCCAAGTCATCTATTTTGTAACTTCACAATTGGAGGGAAGTAAATGCCCAAACCCAATAAATATTCTAAAAACAAACATCCCTAGACTGAGAATATAAATGCCAGCTACCCTCTCAACAGAAATTGAAACTTAATGGAACTTTTTTCTTGGCTTAGTAAGATCAAATGTCATACAAGAAATTGCAAATTGTGTGTAGCGTTTTTTTCCTGAGAAACCTGAGGGTCTTCAAGTTTTTGTTCTAACAGCTAATGTTAATTGCAAAGTGACTCCAGACAGCATAACTGTGAGTAATGGTCTAGGGCATCTAAATGTTTGATGTGATACTTTTAACCTTTCTGCATTATGCAAGCAGTGTATTTTATTGTTAAATTGGATTTTAATTTATGTTTATGCTTTTCCACGGAAATATTATAAGACTAGTAGTTTTCATAATTGAAGAGATTCAAGACACCAGATTGTTGCTATATAATTTTTTATATATACTCAATACCTTTAGACAAAACAAGAACCTAATTTAGCCACCCACCAACCATGAAAACATCTGGGGCACATAATATTTTTCCATGGAGCCTGGATGACTGCTTTTTGTGCTTGTTTATTTGATCTGGGAAAACACAACTTACCAACAGCATCTGGATTTCAGAGGCGCCTATATTTGCCCCAAATTCTCCCTTTTAGTCAATGGTATCCACATGACTCATCTGCAAGGTCAGAGAGTCGAGTGGCTCAGCAGAGACTAAAACACAAGATTCTCTGGCTCCTTCCCTGTAACCACCAAACCCCACAATCTCTGGATGTGTAGCATGGGAACCTGCATGAGGTTTTGCCAAGACCACCAGGTTACTGGGAAGAAAACCAGATCTTATAGCCAAAAGTGGGCAACACTGTCTTGACAAGGGTAAGAGGGACCCTAGAGACATTTAGAACTTGTTTGTTTTATTTAAAGAGATCCCTGCAGAGCAGAGGCTGAGGTGGAGTGGGAAGAGGAATTTTTTTTTTTTTTCATTAAAAGGTGTGACTGAGAACTTGAATTTTTGATGACATGTTTCTCCCTCAGAGATCTTCATTGTGGGCAGTCCAGTTAAGACACTGATGAAAAACTGTGGGGCATAGTTTCTAAAGTCTCAAAGAGAAACTCAACAGTTTTAACTTTATCCAGTTTCAATGAAATGTGTAGCTTGGAGCAAATGAAGAAATAAACAAGTAGTGTTTCTTGAACATTACAACTAGGATAGACTAAGGCAAAGCTATGACAGTGTCAGTTTGACCTGTAGCTTCTAATCAGCCTGAGAATTACAGCTTCCCTGGTTTTTACCTCATCCTTTCTCCTCCTATATTATACAACTTCTGGAAACAGGCTACCTGCCTAGCTTGAAGTGTGACTTTTAGCACTACCAAGTTGAATTCTGTGACTGATTTATCGAATTGTTATTGCACCATCTAGACATTCCTCAGCATAAAAGGAGGGTTCAAGACTTCTAAATGTCATTTTAACAAATGTATAATGAGTCTAGGAAACTGAAGGATTATCTACTCATTTCCTAACTAAGCTCATTGGCTGGTGACCCAGTTGACATTTAACTCTGTATTCTCTTACATGTTCAATCTTCTTTGCTTTTTTTTTTTTTTCCTTTTTAATTTTGCTGTAAGCAAGAAGACTCCAGCTATACTTCACTATGTGAAGTTCAGCTCTGATTATGCCTAGAGAACATTGTTATTGCACCATCTAGACATTCCTCAGCATAAAAGGAGGGTTCAAGACTTCTAAATGTCATTTTAACAAATGTATAATGAGTCTAGGAAACTGAAGGATTATCTACTCATTTCCTAACTAAGCTCATTGGCTGGTGACCCAGTTGACATTTAACTCTGTATTCTCTTACATGTTCAATCTTCTTTGCTTTTTTTTTTTTTCCTTTTTAATTTTGCTGTAAGCAAGAAGACTCCAGCTATACTTCACTATGTGAAGTTCAGCTCTGATTATGCCTAGAGAACATCATAAATCTAAGAGTTGAAAAGTATTATTAATTTGCAAAGATACACAGAATAAAGGCAGTATAGGAACATACCCACAAACTGAACAAACGACAACAAAAAACCTTTTAAATTAACTTGGAAATGCTTCTGATTTTTCTCTTCACTTTTTAAGTGGGAAAATCTGATAGTTAAATGTTATCAACTTCCTATGAAGAGAGTAAATATTTAAATCCCTGGACTTCTTCTCCAGGCATGAGCTGAATTAGATGCTGTACTCATTTTTCTTCTTCCTGTCTGACCCTTTCTTCTTATTTTCTTCCCCCTTTTACTTTGCTTTTTCTATTCTTGTTAAGTGTACATCTCTTAGCTCTAAGGCATCATTTTATTTGTTTCTCAGTTTTTTTCGCCCTCCCTAACAATGCTTCTCTTGTCTCTATGTAACACTATATTCTTGAGATGCAGAACTTTCTTGTAATCTTAAAATGAATTCACTGTTATAGAAAAGAAATGTGCTTTATTTATGTATCCCACAGTTTTGAAGAAATGTGCATAACATTCAGAAACCTAGTTTGAATTCCTCTCAAATCTCCCCAATGCTTTTATGGTGAAGCCCCATTCATGCTAATTTCAAGAATCCTTTGTAATAGCTATGGTCCAGTCTTGAATATAATATAGGCAAAGAAAAATTAGAGGTGAATGTACTCAGTTTAGTCTGTAAAGACATTTCATACCACAGTGTTTCCTTTCCAACATGTTCATAAATTCTCATAATTCAAGGACGCAATGTTGAGGTTTGGAACAACCATAGTCTTTGAAATAGATAAACCTGACTTTAAACATTGGCATGGCTACTTACCAGTCTTTAATCACTATTGTGTTCCTCTCTTTTTACCTCAGTTTCTTTTTAATGCCTACCCCATAATATGTGGTGAGGATCAATGAGAAATTCCATGTAGAGTGTTAATAGAATGTCTGTCATATAGTTTATGTCTTATGGAGCCTTAATATGTTGAGCAAATGTTTTCATTGATAGTAAAGAGCAATATCAGAACAGCTATCTCACATACATCACACTAACCTAAATAGCATTAGAGAAAGGAACAATTTCTACAGGTTAACTTCAATACAAGTAATCATTTTTCATGGAGACAGGGTCTCAGTTGGAGACATAGCTAAATTAATTGAATTTTAGACTTTGACTTTGAGAGATCTGGTACTTTACTCTGTATGCAAATATTTTTTGTGAATAAAAATTTCTTTTTTTTTTTTTTTTGGAGAGGTTTTTGCTATAGGACACATGCGTTCGTCAGAGAGAGGGAGAGAGACAGAGAGACAGAAAGCGAGAAATCACCCCCTATGGGGGATGGCCACGCCACAATCCCTTCTCCTCCATTCTCCTCTTGGGATCTTGGGCACACACACACATACGCCCAGCGTGAGTTTAAGTCACCGGGTTTGGGACTCGAACCACGGTCAACTACGTGGGAATCCAGTGACATAGCCATTACGCTAACTGCTGGTCCCGAATAAAATCTACTCTTTACAGTGGTCACTGCTTGCTTGATGGGAAGGAACATCAGTCATCCTAATACACTAAGCACATTGGCATCAAAATAATGACCATCAGGGGTTTCCAAACCATTATTTCTACAACTTCTCATGAAAAATTACCTAACCTTATTTACAAGTCTGGCTTAGGAAACCAGAATGTCATCGTGGAGCCCAGTGATATCCATGACTCCCGTTTTCAGGTGTTATGAATTCATTTAAGAATCACAGTTAAAGTACTAATGGGACATCCATCGTTTTCTTATCAGATCCAGATTCCTCATGGGTTTGTATCTCTGAAGCTTACCAAAAAAAAAAAAAAAAAAAAAAATCACCGGTTCCAGTATAACTAATCCTTACTGGTTACCATGCCTTCATAAAAAGCAGTTAATGCTACTGCCAACCCCTGGATATAATCAGCACTACAGTGATTTTTTTCTTGTCATCCAATACTCAAAAGAAGGGCATGTTTTTGTGCCAAAACAGGGTAAATATCTCTATCCTTCTTTTGGATTAAACTATAAAATGGATTCCAAGACAATTCCAGATTATCTGTTGTGTAGATATTTCACTGAAAACATTGAATAAGACATATTATTGGACTGAACTCAAGCATGAATCCAGTGAAGTCTCAGATTAGTTAGGGAAGGAAGTGATCATCTGAATAAACAGAAAAGAGACCACACCTGCCACTACCACCCTTACCACTAAGACATTTGTATTCTGTCATCCTGACTTGACATTCTTTCATTAAGATTCTTTCTCAGAAGACTCTTCATTCATATCTGCAATATTGTCTTTGCAAATAATATCTGTAATATTGTTAAGAGCCTGTTAAACATTATCGGTTGTATCTGAATTTCAATAATACGTTTGGCTGAAATTCAAGGTTGGACTTTTACATTATTATTGGGTTGTCAGGAAAGTAATGATACACTTTTGCATAGAAAAACAGAAAAAAACGTCATGACTTTACTGACAACCTAATAGTTCCCTTGAAGAAAATGATTGAAGAAGGATATTTCAGGTAATGTAGGCTTTTCGCTTTGATACCCATTCATTCATACTTGTCAAATAATAATAATTAATTCTCTAGTTAATAGAGTGCTAGAGAATTCAGATCAATCCCTCTACAAACGACAACTGGAAAAGCTAGACAAAATAAATATTTTGAAGAGTGTGATTAAATGTACCAAAGTGCTAATAAGGTAGATCTCTGAAGGTCCAGTAATTAGACTTCTCAGTTATTATAATGCTAGCCAGAAAAATGTAAAATGATAAAGAAAATAATTACCAACCTGGAATTCTATACCCAGAGAGAATAGCCATTTGGAATAAAATGAACTAAAGCCATTATCAGACAAAAATAGTTAATCAAATCAGTGTCTTGCTAACTTATATGGAAGATTTTCTTTAGGTAGAGGAAAGAAAGCTCAGAGATGCAAGAAGGAAAGTACCAAAGTAAGTTATATAGTAATAAATATAACTTATTTTTTTATTATATAGACAATTGCAATAATGCTTCATGTGGCTTAAGGTACATAACATATACATAGATATAATATTTATAACAAAGGAATATAAGGAAAAATTAAAGAAAATCACACATCTTTAGGAAAAATAAAAAATATAAATTAAAATTAACTGCTCTAAAATAATTAGATGTATATTATGATATTTTGAATGGCTGGAACTACAATGATAAAGAAATTATATAATATAATACTAATAAATACTAACCAATAGAACGGTAGCATG